AACTTCGAATGTGAATCCGCTGTGAGTATTAGTATACATGCGAATTGACCACAATATTTTGATAGATAAAGTACGAGATGACGTTAAAAGTAGCATTCAATAATGTAATTTCCCCGTCACTTCGACGTCCACTACACACTCAAAATCAAACAAATTTTATAGAATCGACGTGCAGTTCATTTATTTACTATTATATCGTCTATATTCGTTGCTACAAATCGATTTGTTATCACCGAATACTGAGCTATGGTACCTATTCTGTTAGTATTTAACAAGATGCCACCAAATGATATCGATAACTCCACTAACACCTAACATACCTTTTGATCTAAACCCAAAATACACTACATAACATACATACGTCCCCGAATGTGAATCTCTCAGCATGCGATTCGGTATTTGGTAGATCGTTACGTCCATGCATTGTTAGCTAAGAACCGTCGAGCCGAGCTTCAGAACTCCTGCGGCTTATTGCAGATCTAACCAGCCCGTCGTGCTGATTGGATGATATGAGGCAGATCGATGTGTAGTGGTGTATATTGACCTAGTTTTGAGGCCTGGATGATATATTGAAAATGATATGTTTGACGTGGTAATCGGGACGTTAAGGCGTCCGCTTATCATGCATGAGGCCCTTTTTTATTTATTTATTTTTGTCAGGGAAAATCATCAAATGACTTCTCCCGCCCAAAGTAAGGCAAGAGAGAGTGTCAGACTCTTACTGACTAAAAATCCCTGTGTTCCTTCTCCTGCTCTGGGCTGACGCCGCCTTGGCTCATCTCGCGGTCTCTGGTTTGATAAACTGGTCGGACACAAACTACAAGGATGTCTTAATCAAATTGATGTTTATACTCGTGATTATTCTTAGTAGTTTAATTCATTTTTCTCTTTTGATATCCTTTTAATCAAAATGTTATGTATTGTAACAACAATAACCATGTAAGCCTCTAAATGATAAAAAAACGACACTAATTAATGAAAATAATAACGTTGTTTTCTATGCTAGCAACACATTATGAAACCTATAGGTAATAAGACAGTAATAGATATGTTTCGCTTAGTTAGAAAAATAATAGACATTAAAAAATATGTTTAAAAATATTACTAAATAAATTATTCTTTGGAAAAGCAAAAAGCGTAACGGAATGCTAAATATTTTTATCTAATTGGAATCCGATATTTCGAACGAACAAAACGTAATTATTTTAATAATCCTGCTAGCAAAAATATGTTGTTATTATAAAAATAACGAAGTAACAGAGTATTAAATCGGCTTACATATTTTAATCCGTAGCACTAATCCGTTTTATAGGCATAGGTAGAAAATTCTAGAAGAAAGAATTGGCAGAAATCGGATTTGTTTAAATTGATAATTCGAATTCGTTGCTTGAACAATTCGTTCGAAATCTCGTTGAAGCATTAAAAATACGTGTTTCAGAATACAATGTGCAATTTTCTAAGCCTCTTTTAGAATGAAACGGTATGAGGATTTAGCAAATAGCCTCATCATTGGTTTTCGTATTGTACAAACTATAAGGAATTTGATTTGTTTTTATGACAAAATTTTGTGTTGTTTTTTTTTTATTTTAATGGTTTTTTGTATTTAGAATGGCCATATACATTTTGTGTAACTCTTTTAGGGCTGATTATAAAAAAGTCAGATAAATGTTGTCTAAGGAATAAAATTGTTGCAATCACTGTCTTATACGAACATCGTGACGTGACAGCATCGTAATTATTCCGCAGATAACTTATATGTAACGATTGAAAAATCGGCCCTTAAAGGTAAAATTTAAAAAAAAATATTCACAAAATCTTCCTTCATTGACACATCCATAAATTAATTGATTTACCTACTCTTCTATTATTTTGATTTTATTTTATACCTACATAAACAAAATACACATTTAAAAAAAGGATTGAATTCCAAAAGTATCACATCTTTTTATTCGATATCACTTAAAATCCTCTTTAAATCACCTAAACCTATAAATTATTATGCAAGGACTAATAAAGACCTCATATTTACCCAACCTTTACAAAAATTCGTCACACTCATCCACTTCTAATAGACTTTTAATAGCCTCTTGCAACAACCGTAATAATAGCCTACCGGAGCGGCTATAACTGCCAACGTATTGCAAGTGCACTTTAATCATATAGTGTCAGAATGCCCACTATTTTGTAACTGTCAACAGACAAACAGAAACGGAAATATTTTATCACGTTCATGTTTTAAACAACTTTTGCTGTACAAATATAGCGTGCATTTTATTTATGTATCCGACGTTTTAGATTTATTTATTCGTAGTATGTAGTTTTGTTAGCATAATGATTATTTGTAAAGATTTATTTGGTTACCAACGAACTGTCCCGGTTTCGCTTGTCGTTTATTCTTGTTTTTCTTGTCAAATAATAATCTTCTGTTTTATTTCGTTGCGAAATCCAAGACAGTCATTCATGTCCCTGGGACGTGTCAGATTTCAGTGTTTCGGTGTTTTCACGGCTGTACTGATACTGCATATCCTGGCTAATGAGATTTCCAGTGGTTTCAGGAGGTTTTATGTACATGTGAATATATTTCGACGTACATACTTAATTATAAAATCCAAAAGCTTTGGACAAAGATCGATTTTTGATTTATTATGATGATTTATAATATTTGTATTTAAGTTTGTGTCAAAAATCTTGGTTTATTAATTTTAGTAGGTACTAAATTCAACTTTATATTATGTCTTTTTTATAAACGGGCTTTGTCTGATCCAAATAATTCCAGATCTGAAAGACACAAAAAAAATTACTGTAGCATGAAGCAGTTTAATAAAAAACACATAAAAGAAATTCCAAATACAAACCAACGGCTTATTAAAAAGAGAAGATTCATTGTTCTTATTAACCTTTCAACAATTTGATTTACCAATGAATCATTGCATTCATAATTCGAATACTATTGGCAAACAGTTACTTACACGCATTTAGAATCTGATACTTTCTCCGTCCATTGTGCCTTGTATGCAAATAATAGATTTTGTGACTGGATTGACATTTCAAAAATCGAATTAATTTGCGTATATTTGTTACACATTGTGCTTGCTTGAGGATTTTTTTGAGTATGTAAGGTGACAGACCTAACAGACTCCGTTATACTTAACACTACATAGGTCTTTCAAACAACTTAATAAACTTTTATGGAGCTTAATAAATATGTTTTTCTTTCTTTTCAAAAAAAAAAAAAATCTCTAGTTTAAAGTTCAATTTTATTTTTATTTTACAAAAAAACATAGATATTCAATTAACATGAACCTCCTTCGTCCTCGAGAAATGAGTTGTGTCGGCTACTCTCACTGGCTAAAAGTACCGTAGCGAACATCTTCTGCGTATACCCGGGACCCGGTTTGCCTTTGCTGATTCATGCCTCACGTCTTTGTAACGTAGAATTAGTTATACTATAATTCTTTTGGTTATAGTCACTATCGCCATACACATACTATAGTTTTAAATAATAAATAAATAATCAACCTTACTTCTGAAAATTAGTCCGTGGTTTTCGAAATTGTTAAATAATTGCATTTGCTTCCAAAATAATAAATACATAACAAGTCATGTTTTTAAACATAAAACATTATTTAAAACCCATGTTACATTAGGCGATGTAAAAAAACTAATCATTGTTTACCAAAATAAGTCAGAGAACAATCTGGCTGAAATGAGTCGCAATAATCTCTAATTATAGCGACACATTTCATTTCAAAATTTCAATCGCAATGAAGTCTTAATCCATTCATTAAGACCTAACTAACCATTCGATACCCGGATACACAGTATTGATCAACATATTGTGAAAGAAGTGATCGGCGCGTGCGACCGCTCCGCCCTCTATTTCGAAAATGGCCGATAAGCGCATCCATTGTCTCATTTTCCGACTTTCGCTGCGCATCTAGTGTAATACATAATTGCATCTACAATTATGTTTACATGTACATATGTATATAGGAGTGTTATGACACGCATTCTTGTCACATTGTTTCTTCTTTGTGGTAGCTACTGATTTTATCATACAAATTTTATTGTCCTGTTTTATTTCATTATAAAAGAGGTATTAATCCCAGAGTAATTATCCAAATTAATATTATAAATGCGAAAGTAACTGTCTCTCTGTCTTTTCTTCACGCCTAAATCACTGAACCTATTTTTGTGAAATTTGGTAAGTGCAGACATAATTTGAAACTTGAGAAAGGACAAGGGGGAAAGGAGGTGTTTAGTTTAGTAGTTTTTAAACCAAAAATCTGCAGGAAGTCACTATTCCACGCGATCAAATTCGCAAGCAAAAAAGTGCCAAATAAAACTGATTTAAAAGTTTAAATAAAATTTTACCTCTTTATAATATTATTATAGATGAAAATGCAGTTTTATCTTCTCTGGGAATGTAGTTTGTGTTTCTGCCCTTCCGTAATTTTCTTTTGTGCGGTCGCAAATTGCGGAAAAGATGTTCTATGATGCGTTATCGTTTAGGTCAATCTCGAAGATGAATGAAAGATGTTAGCTTTAGGATTTTTTCTAAAATAAAACTGTTTTTAATAACATGACTTTGATAGAAAAAGAAAAGAAATCAGTTAATGCTTGAGTGAAGGAGAAACAGGTTTCGGCGCAAATGGGTCGGCTTGACCGGAGTTATACCATAGCCTCAGAGAATAGAGGCGTGAAACAAGACTTACGTTGTGTTACGCCGAGTAAGGTTACCGGAGACCCAATTCTTACTCCTCCACTCCCTCTCCCCCCATCCTAAATCCTCAAATCCCTAATAACCCACAAAAGGCGGGCAACGTGGCGTCGATTGTTTTCCACTTACCTCTAGCACCACAGTAGATGTGACAAAATAATTATTTTGGAATTAATATTTAATTAAACGAACAATATATTGTTTTTGACCTTATACAACGTTACAAAAACTGTAGGTATACAATATCTTTTTTTTAATGTGTTATATTTTTTGTTTTCAGGAGCAAGTAGCACCGGTTGAAGAGCCCCAGGACGATGACAAACCATCCAGGTACATATTTATTGATTTAATTTTAACTTAAATTCATTCTTGATAAGATCGAAAGGATTTTCAATTTTAAAACTTTGTTATAAAGACGAGAACAGAGTATACAGTTGTTCACAATTTATGTTAAATTGTACCTCATTGAATTTCTCCCGTAGAATTTTTTAAATATTTTAATTTGAATTTAGAATAATTCGCGTTAAGTTTTAGGCATTTAGTTTTAATTTATATATTTCAATACGCGTTTTCAAAATGTCGTAAACGGCATATAATCTCAGAAATATTTCTTTTTAGATGTAAAGCCAATCATCTAATTTGTAAAAATAATTCAATTAATGTAAAGCTAATTTCGAGAATAACTGATCGGCCGTTTAATTGGCTGAACCGTCTTCGCTTATGATTTTTGTTGTGAGTTTTACTTAAAAGATTATGTTTCAAAAAAAACATTAGAAAAGTAGACTAGAAAAGCGAGTAATACCAACCTTTTCGGTGACGTGGCGGTTCGCTAAAAAAGAAAAATCTGACAATATCATCAACAACAATACATCCACAAGAATCAGGCGCTAGTTAAAAATAAAATAAAATTCAGAAAATACAATTTTCATAAAGCATTTATGTTCTTTTTTATTAATTATTAAAGTTTTCCGAGTCCAAATATCGTACTTTTGCGATCCTATACTCGTATTGCCAGAGCAGAAAATATTATTCACTTTGTGGCAAGAAGCCAAAATAGCCACACAACCGGGTTTTATTACAATTGGATAGAACTATGAAATTTTCAAAATTAATTCAGTTGCAGAATAATTTAGATTTGATTATATGTTTGCTGGCAATTTTTTGTAGATTTAAGTCATAATTTAAAATGGAATGGCAAGATATTAGAATTAGAATAGGGTTTATCAAAATATAATTGAAAAATACATTATTAATTTTTGGTGTAGATATGATATATGATTTTAAAGAAGTTTTTTATCGTTTATTTTAGGGCTTCTCAAAACTACACTTAGCATATTAAAGTAAAGGAGTATTGGACCAGGGTTATTTCACCCATGCAGCGAAATACATCGCAAGGGTTGTTAGTCGCCTGTTTTCATTAATGCCGTAATAAGTGTGGGAGAGCCATGCTTCGGCACGAATGGGCCGGCTCGACCGGAGTGATACCACGGCCTTACAGAAGACCGGTGTGAAACAACCAAAGCGTTGTGTTTTGCCGTGTGAGTGAGGTTACCGGAAGCCCAATCCTTCGCCGCCCCAATCCCTAAATCTCCAAATACCTAATCCCTAAAAGGTCGGAACGCACTCGTAACTCCTCCGTTGCGGGTGTCCATGGGCGGCGCTGATTGCTTACCATGAGGTAATCCGTATGCTCGTTTGCCGACCAATTACATAAAAAAAAATATATCACTCCGGTTGATCATATCTGTTTAAACCGAAGCATGTAATGAAGAGCATGTCATGTCAGCTATATAATATGTTAACATGACTTACATCTTTATAGGACCGTCTTTTCATTGTATTGTTTTCTTAAAATTCCAGTCGCAACGACAACGAGCAGTATCGCCCAGGACAGGTGTTCTCCCTGAACACCCAGGAACTGTTGGAGCTGCAGCCAGAGAGAAAGGCACCCCTCTCGAGCAACCAGTTGTTGCAACAGCTTTACCGTCCCCAGCAAGAACAGAAGCAAAACCTCCAGCAGATATATTATTTGGAACCCCAAACTGCTCGCCAGGTAGATATTTGAATAATAGTGTCAAAAATTTCACCCTCTGCTCAGCTCCACTTAATTGTAACGTGATGTTTCATAGCCTATAGCACTCAGGAACATTGTAGCTACCTATCAGTGAAAGAATTTTGGCAATCCGACCAGCGGTTCCAAAGATTACCCCCTACATACAAACTTACAAATTTTACCTCTTTATAATATAAGTATTGATTTCAGGCTATCTTTCTTAAATTTTATCTATCAACTAAACAGATAGAGATAATTTTTAGATCAATTTCATACTTTACCTTTACAACAAAACCATTTTATTTCACTAGTATACCTTAAGTGACTTATATACCTATAACCTTTAAAATGTTTAAAATGAAAATCGAAATCACTCCAATTAATAGAAACAAAACATAACAAATACAATACAAAATAAAACGTGAAAGTTATTTTCTTGAATAGCGTCAGACGGCTGTCAGATATCTTCATGTCTAAGTTTAGAACCATCGTGATATGTCTAGGGAATTTACTTTGAAATACAAAAACATATTTTTCGATGTTCTGAATGTGCTATATTTAACTTGGCATTTACGTCAACAGGTGACATACCAGCCATCGTCTCATGCCGTCATCGCACGTCCTGACTACTCCTCGAACGGTGGAGAAGCATCGGTTGGAGCAGCTTTGTCCGTCAGTGACTCAGGATCAACACCCAATGATTTATACAATCAAGATCTCTTGGCCTTGATAGGACAACCTCCCGTGAAATCGGCCGAAGATACCCAGCAATTCTTCTCCCAACCCCAACAAGTCCAGCACATTCAGCAAGTTCAACAGTCCTCTAATGTCCAAAGCGTGGCACCTCAATATCAGCAGGTTAGCATATTTTAAGCAGTTCACCATACAATTTATCAGTAATAAAATAATTTGATGGTCTTATAACTTTGATGTTTTATTTACAGGTCGACAGATACATGACTAAGCCAAGTAAGAAATCGAAGCTGAGAAACAAGGTCCAAGTGTCGCCTCCCCAGCCTTCTGCTGCCCCTCAACAATACCTGATCGAGACCACGAACGTACAGCAGCAACAGCAGTCTATCCAGCAGTCGCCTTTGTATCGTCAACCTCAACAGCCACAAAGAGTGCCCCAGGCTTTACGCTATGTCCCACAAACTCAAGCTGCATCCCAACAAATATTGTACGAACGTCCAGAATCACAGGGCTTGAAGATAGTCCCCGCTCCCAAACTGCAGCAATTCCAACAACAACCCAGGACTCAGCTAAATGGCTATAGATTAGTGCCTCAGTACCAACAACAGCCTGAAGCCACCCCAAAACAATACAGAATCTACGAAGCGCCAAGGCAAACTATAAGGCCACAAGAACAGCGCGTGTCTAGCCAGAGCATTGAACGACCTGTCGCATATTTGAAACGATTCCCCGACGTCGATAAAATGCGAACTTTGAAAATCTACGATCCCACTGAGGGTGTACCTCAACAACCTGCTCAAATCATTGGAGAGCAATATTATCTTCGTCCGCTGTACCGACCCATTGAACAGCGATCACGTTACGATGTGTCTACTCAGATTAAACCCGAGCAATCAAGAGTGTCCGAATCAGCAAAAGCACCGCAGTCGTCGATTTACGTTAGCAAAAATGTAGCTCCTAGAAAACCAGCGAGGCCACAGCAACTGTACAGGGAGCAGCCTTCAAGTGTCGAACAAGTAAACCTTGAGCAACACGGACAGAGTTTGGAGGAACAGAGAGCGCAGCTGCCTCCTCCTAAGAACAACAAGGCTTATACTCCTGAAGAGTTCGCAGCCTTGGTTGCAGCAGGGTACTCTGTCACCCCTGTACCAGTTAGCGCAAGCGCGATTAACCTCCAAGAGGCGCAGTCTAGGTCGTCAGTAGAATCAGTGACGATGCATCCCAAACGTCGACCAATACTGGCTGCCCGACGTCACCAATATCTGCCCCTTAGAGGAGATGACGCGCCTTAGAAATAATGACCCCGCTGTAAATAGGTTACTTTTAGTACTGTAAAATAAAAATAAGTGATATTCGTTTAAAAATGTTTTATTTCGTACTCACAGAATAATTATCTAAAGCAAACATATCTGCATTAGTGCCTTCAGCATAATTGTGACCACAGCCAGCGAGCGTTGGTATTCATTACGCTTTCATGAAAACCGCAACTGCATGTCCGCAAACAGGAAAGATGTTATTCCGACTTCAACGTTATTTACCACTGAATTCTCAGTTATGTTTCTTGTAAAAACTTTACATTTCCATTTGATATTCAGCACTAGTTGTTAAGCATTAAGACTGAAATTATATGGTGTATTGCACGCTTTTTATGTGCCTGTGAACCACGAAACATTTATTCACAAAATCCTCGCTTCGGAAAAATGATGAATCTTCATTTTTATAAGCCATTTCAGTTAATGGTTTCTTCGGTATATTTTCGCGCAATACAGCAATTCATTCGAGCTCAGAGTACTCGTTTTATATTTGTTTGCGTAGATTATCTTTATTATGAATATCGATCTTCTTTTTACTTTCTTCACTTAAACTTTTGACGAAGTTTTGATTAAACAGAATTTTGTTGAACGTTTGTTTTGATTGTTTAATCACAATAAAAAACTGAGTAGGTGCCTTGTCTCTGAACTACGCGTATTCTGTACGTTATGAAAATTGCTGAGGTTTCGAAAATTATTATTATTAGGTACATTCATAGAGTGCTTACGAAGTTCTAAGAAGAATTTTTGCACTTTCTTAAAGAAAGAAATTTTTAATTATTAAATTTTATTTAGTAACTTCGAGTGTTTACGTAACTCCAAAGGAGTAATGAATGCTTTGCCTTTTGGGGTTAAGGGTTTCGGATATTTAAGGATTGGGAAGGAATGCCCTGCACTACCCGTGTAGGGATTGGGTCTTCGATAACCTCACTCAGGTTTTTTTATAAATCTACGTCTTTGTTTTATTTTTATATAGAACTACAGCAAACCTGATCCACGTTTATTAATTTTTTGTGTGCTACATAATTTTGCTTGAATGCACGATTGGTGCGGTTGCTGGCTTGCTGGGCAACTGGCCGCCGAACAACATGTTATGGGTTCGATACTGTGTGATGTGTACATGTGTGTGTGAACCTGTATGTTTGTAACAGCATGCACCCACAACAACACAATAGGTAACAATAATATAACTGTGTTGCAGTGAAGTAGATAACTTTTTGTCGAAATCTATCAAAATTTTGGGTTTGTGCTGTCATAAATTAGTGTAGTCGAAAATAAATAACTTCAATGTCGATTTCATTATGGCAGAAATGTTGAGAAATTTTGAGAGAGCTAAGCTTCGCAACGAAATGGCTGGCTCAACCAGAGCTATACCACGGCGACATAAAATGCCGACGTGAAACAACCAGAGCGTCTTGACTCGCCGAGTGAGTGCGGTTACGGAGGATCCAATCTTTCCTCTCTCCATCTCTAAACCCCAAATCCCCTTGGTCGGCAACGCACTTGCATGTCTAATGCTGCGGATGTCCATAGGCGTCGCCGATTTTTTACAACCACATAATACACCTAGTCGTTTGCTGCAGGATCCCTTGCATATATAAAAACCGATTCATACTAGTAATAAGATTCTCCACTTTTATCAACGTTTAATTTTATGGCCATTTTCAATCCTATTGCCAACAATACACTGATTTATAAGAATTTTGGTATATCTGGTATCGTCACGAATTTATAAAAAATTATGTATGACCTACGAACTTGTTACTTTTAAAACAAAAATATCTCTTGTCAAGTCATCTGATTGGTTGTTGATAATTCAGTCAACCAATCAGATGACTTGACAAGAGATTAAATTGATTTTAACATTGATTAGCCTTTCGGAAACCGGGTGTAAATCGTCTATTTTAGAGACCTATTATTAAAATTCCAAAACCATCGTGATTCGAAACAGTCACTATCAATCAGAATTATTTGTGTTAATATAAGAATGAAAACACGTGATTATATTCGACTCAATTTCACAGTTAGTGAGTTTTATATTAGGGTACATGACAATCACAAGTGATAGGAAAATGTATAGAAATGAATATTTTGATCAATGTGTCAAGCCTTCGAGATATATTCTTTTGAATTATTCACTTTCATTTCTCGCGTTTCAATGTCATTTTTTTATAGTATTTGCAAATACGAATCTAGATTAGTTTATATTTGTAAATAGGCCATCAAAAAGCACTTTTACACGTCAATATCTAAGTAAATATCATTAAACGTACAATCCTCATATGTAAATGTATATAATGAATACATATACATTATGATATTAGTCTATTTAGTGCGATAATGTTCGCTGCTTTAGTTTTTGGATATCAATTACTCGTTGAAAATAAAAATCCCACATTTATTACAATCTCGATTTTATAATCATAGTACAGACAGTCGAAGTGGTGACCACACAATCAGATAAGCGAGATATTATTTAAACGGCAGTATTTTTTTATTACAAAATAATTTTGTTTTTTATTCAAAATTTAATTAAACAAAACTACAAATAATAAGGATATCGTACTAAACACCCTTTTTTTTTAGTAAAAATTGCATCTACTATATTGATGATACCTATAAATAAGAATGAAAAAACATAATATGTGAATTTACTTCTGTAACCTTCGGTACACATTTTTATCAGAAATAACGGAGTACAAGGGAAGGCATCACTCACTAAAGAATTTCTAATATTAACGTCGCGTCGCATCCGTCGCGTCGCTGAACCGAATTTTTCGATTTACTTCATGACAAATGGTGGAAGTTTTTGGAGACTCCTCTCAGCCGATTCCTAATATCAAACAGTCCTGTTTTTATGATCTCTTGTCATCTCTGGACATCTGAATAGTTATTTTTACGTAAGTACTTCTATTCAGTTGACTGAGCTAAGTAGCAAAACATAAACAACTTGTACTGATTGAAAAACTGAAACTACGCGTTACTTAGTCACTCTTTTTCATTTAATAAGAATACACAAGTACCTACAACATGAATTAAGATCGATGTTTTCACAATCTTTTATCTGCACCTAATTCGGAGGCTGCCGCCAAAGTATTTATATTCGCTAGGTTACGTTTTAGTTAGATTGTATTAGTATAAGGTATGATGGGACTGGCATACACGTCCGTGTAAAAGTCCCTAATAATAAATAAAGAGAAAAAAAAACGATGTTTGAACTGTCTTATATTCCAAAACTAAATTATTAGATAGGAAGTTTCCGTTTAGTTTAAAATTGAATCATAGGTTACGAGATCAAGCCGAGTGGAAGCAGTGGCCGTTGCAACCGAGGACCAGGCACGCTGTTATAGCTGCGGTAAGAATTCTCTTAGAGGAGTGGCTAGAGCGGCCATGGCGTTACAACAAAACCCTAGGAATACAATACCTAATTAAAGCAAGTTTAAATTATGTATAAAGAAAACTTTATGTAGACAAACATTATGTACTACAAACTAAATGATTATATAGAGGATAAACATGCTTGGAGGCTAGTTGGCCCTTAGGTCCTACTCTATAGGATATTATTTAGGTAAATTTTATTGTTTGTGAAAAGAGGGAATTTGAACTATGAAATGAGACACTATGTTGTTAATTTTTGATGAACTTAAAAATCAATTTTGAGTTGACATGCTCACTTAGAGGTGTCACGGAGACTGGATCGCACGATTCCCTATAACATGGGTATAACGCGACGTTAATATGTGTTGGGTAAGTTCATGAGTGCCGTCAATTGGAACTGGTTCACCCAAGCCTGTCTAAGTATTTGTCTTAGAGGTTACTTTCTTGAACGAATTATTTGGATGAATATTTGTGTGTTTGTGTGTAATGGGACCGGTTCTAAGCTCTACCAGTGTACAACACTGATATTGAACCGGTCCAATCTTCTCAATCGGTCAAATGATGAAAATATTTTCATAGTGTCACGCTCGTGCCTCTAAACAAAAGTTACACTTAACAATTTTGGATAATCATCGATCCACTCTTCCCCCACAAAATCTTCCGAATCCAGTTGCTCCGTACGACGCTTGAGTAACTACAAATTTAGCATCCTGGGTTCCCCAAGTACTAGGGGAATAAAACAACCTCTAATGTCACAAAATAATTTCGAAAATAAAGAACCAAATAAGAATAATATTTACATTCCATTATAATTAAATGAAATGATAAAGTACTAATTCTGATGATATATTTTCCTTTAAACGGAGATCCCAATTATCCCTGTTTGCCTACGAATACTTACAACAAACAATGTATGTCTTTAGGCAAGATTAGGCCCTTTTCTTGGCTAAATTATTTTCTTCGGAACAAAAAAATGTTTTTCTTTAGGTAAAAATACTCTAATTACATACTTTTTCAGGGTTTTTTTTATATAATGGCTTTTTGTTTCTTACTTAGATGTTATCCGGAATAATTATTTGGTTTTTGATTTTTTTGTACTAATATGGTATAATACTGACGTATGAATTAGCTTTGTAATATTTATACGATATTCTGATGTAAAGAAAAGGACGTATTTGTAAGAGAACCTCGGCTATGTTTTTTTGTTTGACTTTTGCTTATGATTTTTCTACTGGGTTTTAAGATTCATTTTTTTTTATGTAATAGGTCAGCAAACGAGCAGACGGATTACCTGGTGGTAAGCAATCAGCGCCGCCCATGGACACCCGCAACGGAGGAGTTACGAGTGCGTTGCCGACCTTTTAAGGATTAGGGTTTTGATATATTTAGGGATTGAGGATTGATCGGGGGAGCTCCGGTAACCTCACATACACAATGCTCTGGTTGTTTCACGCCGGTTTTCAGTGAGACCGTGGTATCACTCCGGTCGAGCCGACCCATTCGTGCCGAAGCATGGCTCTCCCACACATAAAATTATATAATAATTATAGGATTATTTGCTTAACACAATTTAGTATAGAAACGGAACGCATATTGTTTGTCGAATTACGCCATGTAATTGAGGTTACTGGACGCTCAATATCCCTCCCCTTTC